GAATCCACGTCTTCCCGTGATCCGTTGACTTGGTACATGCCATTGGAATCGAGGCAAGTGTGAACGAAGTACATGGATATGTAGGTTCGAATTTTTTCCCCAAAGATAAAGTAAGTGAAACGTTGTAGGATTCGAGTGAGGGTTCAGAAACCCAGCATGTCATGTTTCCAGGTGCGTTGAAATCAGTGATGAGCGATGCAGGGTGGGATTGTGAGGGTTGTGAGGCGTCACACACATCACAATTTTCTCGCATGACACCATCCGCTCCTTCGTTGACCGTACAAAATCTGAAAAAAACTATGTATTTTTAGAAAGGCCCCTTTTCGTTATACAGTGCATGTCTCTTTCGATTTTTTTTCTTTCAGAGGCATTTGAATTGTTTGAAGACAAGAGATCACCTTGAGGGCCCATTCATCCCACAAGTACTGGAGGCGATCACTGGTTTACCAAAAGCCGCATTTATGAACTCTGGCACACATCGAATTGGTCTTCCAGTTGGTTCATAACATGGGTCATGATTAGGCTCTCTCATGGAAAACTGAAAACAAGTAATTTTCCTGATGTTATCAGTATCCGTGGGAAGGGTGCTCATACCTGAGAAAAATATGCGGAGCTGGCTACTCGCAATGAGAGCAGCGCAGCTAATATCATCGAACTGGTCTCTAATGAAGTGACTCTAGAAAGCTGACTGATGCTTTTCAGTTTAATAGGATTCAAGAAAGCATAACATGACATGCATACTAAAATGAGAACACGAGATAAAAGAAAAATTATTCTAATAATTTGACGGACGGAAAAAAACCATTTATGGCTATAATTATAATAACTGAAGAAGAGGTTCCAAAAGAGAAAAAAAAACGGGCGTGGAAAGGACTACATGTTGGAGCCTGGAAGTTGCAGTGAAAGGCATGAATCTCGAAGCGGCTATGAAAAGTGACCAGTGGCAGAAGAAGCCACAAGCGGACATGAGGACAAAACTAATTGTAACGGGCAAAGGACAAGGGTGGACCACGCCCCCTCTTTGCATACCGTAGATAATGGCAGATTGACACTAAATCCATATATTAGGTCGTTTCACTCAAGAGCGTGGAGCCATATGGAGGAGTGCCGGGAGAGCAGAGGAGAGGGATCGTGGATTTCATATTCGCAGTTCGGAATCTTGAACTTTCAGCAACGTATTTGTCAAAGATGGCCAATACCGTCACCGGAAAAAACGTCGTGACATTGAAAAGAAGAACGAGTGATCAATGAATCATTAAATCGGGTGTCACACAAGGAAAGTGCACTGCTCAAATTAATTGTGGGCTGGGCTAATAGTTGCGCAGGATGGTCTTCTCGCTAGGACTGTAGAGGAATGGCTGCGAATGTCCGGAAAGGAAGGGCGTGAAAAGCTTTCGGTCTACGAGGGCCCATAATATTAACTCATAAACGGGAAACTGAGTAAACGAAATCTATTATCGAAAGTCTAACCAGAGAGGGTGAACCACTTTCGAACTTGCCCGTGAGATCGACATTGTTGCTGAGGTCGCTGCTCGAGTTCCACCCGGAAATTGGGAATGTTAATTAAGAGTGTGTTTGGGTAACTAGCTCTCATAGAAGTGCAAACGAAGACTACCTTAAAAGTTCGAAGCGAAAGAGGAATATTAGGGGGGGGGGTCGAAAGCAAAGAGGTAGCTCAGCTTCCGTTTGGCTTGCGCCCTCAAGAAACCCATATTGCCTTAACCGAGTTGATTTCTGCAAAAAGAGTGCTCTGCGCTCAAAGGCAGTTGGCACAATAATTTGGTGCGCTGTCTAAAATGGTATCAGGGGTGCTAAGTGGTGGGAAGTGGCGAAAAAACATAGTTGAAGCGGTCAAAAACCTGCAAAAAGTCTTTGTTCTACACGACTCAGGAAGCAATTTTGGGCGAGTTCCCCGTTCGCATCTTGCCAATAATCGCTACGGTGAGCACAGAGTGCATGTATGCGCTTACTTACATATCCACGAGGCAGCCGCTTCATATCCATCCCTTCGCCTAATATTTTACTTCGCAAAGGAATGACGAACATGAGGATCGGTCGGACAACTGTAGGCGGGTGGCTCGGTGGGCGTTCGGGCAGTATGTTGCAGATTGATGGGGCGCTGGGCACCTTCCTTGGGGAAAGCGCCAGGCAGCGCTTGCTCAAGGCGCTGAATTCAGTCGTGCTAGGCGCCGTCGTCGTTCACATCTTGGAGATTTATCATGCCAGCTGCCTTAAAGACGCCATCCACCACTGCGTAAACATAATCAAGCGTTAGACGAACTATGGGTGGTCACATTGAGCCCACAGTCACAAATGTCGGCTTTGAACGAATACAGATGAAGGCCTCCCGGAGAACGTGATGAGGATTTACGTGGGCCTAAAATAATCATGGCAATAGACTTCTGGGTTCTAGCCTCTCAGTAACTCTTTCCAACAAGCACATATTACTATCGATGTTTATTGACAGGTCCTCGATGATCTAGGTTCTGTTTCTAGATGATCCAGCTAGACAAAGGGATGGTACCACACAAGTTTAAGAAAGCCATCAATGTTCACAATGCCGGGCCCTAACCACTATTCATACAATTCGACGAATCTTATAGGAAGAATATTGGGGCATGGATTGAGTCGTTCGTTTTCGTTCCACCTGCAGCTGTGCAATTTCAGTTGTCCTATTATAATTTTGTGTTGGAGACACCGCTCAGTGAAAAACGTCACGCGAATTGTCTCGCCAAAAGTAGCTTTTCAGCATCTTATCTGTTCTTGTCAAAGGAAAAGACTGCTCGGTGTCCAGATGCTACCTGTACGTTGGAAAGGGATTTTTGACGGAGTCCACTCTACCTGAGACAAGAAGAGAACTTTTACTTTTTTATCTGTTTTCCTATTCCTTTATTTAGCTGAACATCCAAGGTTTTTGAATGAGGTGATCTAGCACGTGTTATACTTCAATTAGTTTATTGTGAAAGTGTCCTCATGTTTCTCCACACAGATGAAGCGGCTGTGGAGATCTACAGATACTGAGCATTCTTTAGTTGCAACTTGAGAATCTGGGATAGATCCAGTTCATTATCCATCTGTTGTGAGTGCTTGCATATGCCTTTGAATCAAACTTTTTATGATTCGCCATTGATTTATTATTTGTGGAGTCGAATTTTAGGCAGAGTGGGTTTTTTTCTCAAGAATGGTTTGCAGACGTGTGCTCATACCCTATTTGGCTTGTTCTCCATAGTAGTATGAGATCAGAAAGTTTGAAATTCATCTCATACCTGTTAATTCTCTCATAAAAGGGCTTATTAAGGAGAGAAAGGACGATCAAAAAGTGTTCCAGCCGAATACTTGCGCTTTAATTGTGAAAAAATGAGGGGTCATAAGTGCAGAAACTTTCTCTTTATGGGAAAGCTGCTCATTGCGACTTGGTATTTAGGAAAAATACGGATAAAATACACTCCAAATCCCAGAGATGGGGTAGGCGTGGCTGTGTTTTCCAACTAAACGTGGCGGTTGCTGTGCTTTTAAAGAAATATTTCCATTTTGACGCAGCTGTGATCGTGTCTCTATCCATTACAGAACAAGATGACGGTGTCTGAAACTGAAATATCTCAAGAGTGGCCCGTTCTCTGTTCAAATGCCACGCCTACTCCATCTTAGGGAGGCGGAGTATACTTATTGACGATAAAACACGTATAAATTTCGATTAAATAGAACAGAGTAGATGATAAAGTGCGACAGTTTCCAATTACCACTCACTAAACAACATGAGAGGCCTTTCTGAGAGCATCCATCGCTACCAAAATCGAGTTCGTTTGTGGAACACGGTGAGGCGGAATAACACGTGTTTCCTTCGTGGGATCATTAGCATTCGAACTGGATGGACGTCAAGGCTGTCACATTTTTCAGTGGATAGAATGGGCTAGAACGTCTTACGATAAATTTGGCGTGACAAACCGCATTTTGGATAACTAGGCGAGTAGCTAGGAGACATACTCACCACGGAGCACAGGTTATCTAGGTCTAGAAGGGGTGCTAACTCCTAAACAGAAATGGTGCTTCCGTACTTGAATGAAACATAAATAAGATTGGAGCACGAATTTGTGACAATCTCGCTTGAGCTCTTCCTGTGGACTACTGGAAGGTTTCGGAAATAGTAACATGTAACAAATCCACAAATCCTTGTGGTTCCAGGATCGAATAACGTGTTTATTGGAAAACGAATACAAGTATGCAACAGTAAAAAGTTCATTGGCGGAAGTCAGCTAGGCCCGAGGCGGGGCGGAGGTTAAGGGCATCCGAAGCGTGTGCCCAGCAAGATACATCGTCCTCCTCCCGGCTCACCTCATCGCACGTCTCCTCGCCTTTTGTATGGGTCCGCCTCCTGTGATCAGCATGTGTCATCGATTAGCCTAAGCGCGATATTGGTTCTTTTACATCCTAAACCCTCACACCTCTGTCCTTTCACGAAGAGGTCCACCCTCGGACGTTGTCAAAAGAAAGAATAAAAGGGTGTGAAAAAGTAGATACTCACCCCGAAGCATTGACGAAAACAGTTAAAGAACAAAAGCGGCAACGTGAAACGGTTGGCGATAACTTTTCAGGTGGCGGTCAGACGAAGTAGACATTCCATTTGGGAAGATTGCTGAGGGCGTGAATACATCCTAAAATGAGGAAGCAATGGCCATGGGTAATCACCACATTTATTCTCCTGAGTTTGTCATGCAAGTCTCCTGAGGATCGGTTAGTGTCTGCCGAAGTAGGCTATCAGCACCTGTGACCCAACACAGATTCAACAGCGTGTTAAGCGAACTCTGAAACAGGCAGTGCGATGTCTGTAGAGCTGTTGTTGGTCTTTATGAATGGTAACGATCATCAGGATGCCCCTGTCAAGGAGGTCGATGGTACATCTGGCTCCTTTCTTCCTAGAGTGTGACTATCTATGAGAAGATCGAGAACTATCATCAAAACCGACAACCACGAGAGGAAAAGACAGATTTGGAACAGAAGATTCAGCCGTCAGGACGGTCCTCTGGTGAGCAGGCAACACGCTACTTAGTGATCCCCCACACGGCAGTGCGTTGGGGAGCTTGCTGAGGGCTGGTGTGAGCGAGATGTAGTGAATAGTGGTGCAAGCGGAACGTCCTCGCGAAACAATAGGTCGATTACACCTCTGCTTTCTAGCCGAGCCGCTAACGAGGATATAAGACACCGCGCGTGTGGTTCAAGCTGGTACTTATCACCAATATTGACGGGGCGCACCAAAGAATAGTGGACCGCCATTGCGACAATGGCCGACTAGGGCATCTGTATACTTCACGACCACTTATTATTTGACAACAGGACAAGATTTCATGAAAGAGAACGCTTGGCTTGGTAATATTAAGTAGCGACGACACTAGCACACAAATAATAGTTGGTAACTGAACACGAAGCATGGTGGCTGCCGCTCGTTTTGGAGCAAGGGAGTTATTCTTCTCCGCAATCCGATATTCTCCGTGTTGTTCGTCGGTTATATGGGGAGTAACAGCGGGGTTAAAGAGCACCTGCTCGATGAGACGGAACGTGCAAGTGCCGCGTATGCTGATCGTGTTCTTGCGGAGCAAATGTGTTCGGAAATGGGAGCGGAATGTCGCAGAATATTCACCTATTTATTTATTTGTTTATCATGCAAGCAAAGGCACGCCGCAATGTCAGCAAAACTCTATGCGAGTGTGCGATGGATTTGGGGTAGGGAGTCCTTGTAGAAACGTGTCTCCTACAAAATGAAGCACAGTCAGATGTTGCCGATATTCTTTGAAGCCCAACAGTTCCCTTGCGAACTGGGCCAACGTCAGCGGTGGCGAGCAACAAGGAGGCTGCCAGGAGCACAGCCGAGGAGTACAGCCGCAATTAGAATCCCAACTGTACCGTGTGCCACTTGAATGGCAAGGAGTGGATGGTTCTCAAATCCCAGCTGTACAGCACGGACCTGATGCTTTAGAAGGTGTAGAAGTCGTGATCGAAGCCACGCAACCACTTTCGGAACCCCTGGTTGAGAAACGGATGGATCCAGATGGAGTAGAACGCGATTGACTAGCGTATACTATTGGCCAAAGCAGGAGCGCCGAAAGAAAGAAGCAGCTTCGCTACTTATCGCAGGTGAAGAAGTCAAAAAAGGGATCAGTGATTGTGGACGAGACGAAGACATATTGGCGTGGTCTCGATGTTCCGTCCAATATCAAATGAGCCCCATAAGGTCGCACTGTGTTGGAATGCGTTATGTGTACGTGCTTCCGTGTGCAGCTCAACCTCAACTAACTGTTTGGTTAAACAGGGAAAACTGGGCGCTGACCCAGTACGCAGGACTAACGTGGAATCGACGATCTAGATATCTATGGGCCTGGTGCGTAACCAATTTCCGTCAGTCGCTGATAGCTTGAATCGGTTATGCATTTTAGATTAGGGATCGCAGCGATGACTTAATGAGTGCGTCTATCCGCAGGCGTGGCTTGAGCTGCTAGTGCAGTGCTAGTCACGAAGAATAGCTTGCCCTGCGGTGATGAGCAGCATTTGGTCGGGGGTCAGCGATTCCCTCTGTACGAACTGTAACCCACTAGCAGCCTTCGGCAGACATTTCTAACGGTAGAGAAGCCTCGTCAAGGGGAGGGGGAGGGGGTGGGAGGCGGAGAGGAAGCAGCCGTACCGCATTGGTTGAGAAGCGTTGCACGTTGCAACAAAAGATCTCGACCTTCCTGTTGGTCCAGAACAGAGTCGCAGATGGACTGAGGCGGATAGCCTTCCAACACGCTTTCAATGCAACCAAGACGTTGTTGACGGCTCACTCGACCGCGCCGGTTCACTGCGAAGACAACATCTAGTAGTGCGTTGCGCTTTGCGCGAGGAGGAGTGACGGAAATGTACTCCTTGGCGCGGAAAAAATATGGATGACCAGAATAGGAGGGAGGACCGATTAACCTGTGCTCAATCCAGAATGGTCTTACGATACTACGAGTTAAGCGGGTGCAGTTAGGCGACGGGGGGGGAGGCATTTTCACTTTCACTGCTCCCTATTTCTGGTTTACAAGTCTCACTCCGGCGAATTTGGTACTCTTGTGAAGCTAGAGCAAGCCGCCATGGTAAACGTGTCAACTCAAGAGAAGGCTATCTCGATGGGTTGACACATCTATGGGAAGAAAATGCCTCCCCCCCGCCCGTCGTCGAACTGCGCCAGTTAAGCGCTTTTAGCTAAGAGACAAGACCCATACGAAATCGGTGACGGACACCTGTATTTGTCAAATCCTCAAATTCGCGTCAAGTCGTTGGCAGAGTCCCGCCGTGAGGATATAGGAATGGTCACAATGATGAGGCGTGGTAAAAAAAACTTCAGCCTCTTGTGCAATTCTAGGTCGTAGTTCCTGGCGAAGGCTTGATGAAGCCCCGAAGGATCCTTTTCCGAAAGCTAGGAGGGATATAACAAAGATAAAGGGACTCTAGGCAGGGATGGTCGCGAAAACAGAATATCCACTGTATCGTCATGGTACGACAATCGAGTAGCTCCGTGGTCAGCCGGATCGCATGGTGAAAGATGATAATATCGTAAAGTCGTAGGGATCTAAAAAGAGGCACTTCATTGGATGAGGATGGTATAGCGCTGTGGGAAGAAGGAAAGTACTGACGGAATATCCTTGGGCAGATATTTGACCATATACGTGTATTGAACCTTACCCAGCCCACCCACCTCTATCGTACGAGACTCCTCATATGACATGTTCTGTATAATTGTATCTACCTGTTCTCGCTTAGTCGATAGAGATCCTGGTCAAAGCGACATTGCAGTTATATGCTGAAATAATCATAGCAGTAGATGATATAATCATGTCTGCGGCTCATAGTTTGTAAACTTTACTAAAACTCCTGAAGGGAAGAACGATCATCTCACATTCCGTGCATTGGTTTATCTGTTTACTTGTACTAAAAAGGATAATAGTACCCCTGATTCAAGCCACAAAGCCACGGAGCCATAACAGGAGAATATCCTAGTGCTAACAGCCTCAGTTCTCGGCAATAGATCGGACCACGGCGTAATATAGGATTGAGAACAATGCGTGTCACCTGACCGTCTAATATTGCAAGCCGTGCGCCTTTGCACTCTCATTTCTCATTTCGGTTAATTATATTCGTTTCATTTGCATATTCACGCGCAGACAGCGAAAATTTGTGGGTCCTCCATCAATTTCGGAACAGGCTTGGTATAGGTCACTTAGCTGCAGCGATGGTGCACATACTTAACGATCACAGCAAACGAATTTCCACTATAAAAGCCTACCATATATTTCAAAATATGAGTGGTGAAAATCGTATGCTCCAAAATAAATCTTGAGGGAAAGAAGAATTCTGCAATTCTCCCATGTGGAACACATAGTCTAGAAGAGGTTAGATGTGAATCGATTTCATTATCTATCTGGCACGTAATGGTGTCATAAAGGCAGGGTCGCACGCGTGGACCATTGGCTTGCAGTACTAATCCAATCTTGTTTATTACTTGAACGCCGTCCTGCCGCATGAACGGAGAGGTCGAAAAGCGGTAAAGGCTTTGAATAAAAACTACTCAAAAGAAACGACAGAAGGCCATGCGGCATTGGGTCTGACCTCTTCATGTCAACAAACCACAGGGAGAATGCTTGGATTAGTGGCCAATCGTTATTCATCATAATGCTCGCCTCAAAAGAGAATGTGTCTATATACATATAAGGCAGGAAAGCCATATCCTTCTGCTTTGCTCAGTATTGTCGTTTTTTGCTGAAACTCCCAAACAGCAAGAATTAAATAGGTGTATACCAATCGAGAAATTTTATGAAAGCGCGCCTGTGCTTTCATGCTTCTCTCGAAACTGCCTACTGAAAAGATATCTGCTCCCTGCTCGTACCTGGGCAAGCATTCCCGCTTGAGATGTTGCTCGTCTCCAGGGTCTATCGATGTGGAAAGGCTTGCAATTTTACATTCACTTAAAACCGTACCATGTTTGCAGTCAGAGGTAAACTGAAACAGATGGTGAAATCGCGAACGATGGAGTTGAAATAAGCCTGGCTTTGTAAAATCTTTGCCTATCTTGTCGAATACAGAACGGCTGACGTGACCGATGCACTTACATCTGTTCTCAACAGTTAGCTCTCCTATTGCAAAGAAGATACCATCGCTGTTGTTGTCGGCGGCAGTATTGTTTGACAGATCGTTCACATCATTGGATACGCCAAATGAATCCGTCTGAAGGTCTATGACATAGAAATTCGGTGCACATTATTGACGCTTCGAAATTTCCCTTATGTGAGGTAAGTGAAACGTTGTAGTGTTCCAGTGAGGGTTCGGAAACCCAGCATGTCATGTTCCCAGGAGCGTTAAAATCAATGGTGAGCGATGCTGAATGGGACCACGTGGGTTGTGAGGCTTCAATACGTCACAGTTTTCTCACATAACGCCATCTGCTTCTTCGTTAAGATCTGAAAACAAAATCTGAAAAACCATGTTTTGTTTGAACTGAAGCCCCTTTTTTCGTTATTTTTTTCTTTCAGAGGCACTTAAATCGTTTAAAGGATGACAGGAGAACGTCGAGGGCCCACTCATCGCACAAGTGCTGGAAGCGACCTATGGTTTACCAAATCCCGCAGCCGCGCTGATAAATTCCGGTACACATCGAACTGGCCTTCCGGTTGTTTCGTAACGGTCATGGCAAGGTTCTCTCATGTTTTTTTCAGTTCCTATCAAATTTTCGGGATTTTGACTATTTATTTAATACGGATTGCCATAACATAACATGTATGCTTAGATGAGAAAACGGCATGAAAGATATCCCAATAACTTGACGAATGAGAAAATTGGCTATGGCTATAGTAAGTAACTAAGAGGCTTTAGAAAGGCAAAAAAGCGTGAGTGGAGGGGGTAAATGTTGTCAGAAGTTGTCATTGTTTTGTTCAACTTGGAAATAAGACACCGGTGACAGAAGTGACGCGTGATGTCTCATAACCCGCAAAGTGGTGCGAACGGCAACAAGCCTCCAGTAATTGTCATGCAGTCATTACGGTTGTACAATAAAGGACTTTGCACGCGGATGAAGAACGCTTCCAAGGCCTTCCTAGCACCGAGGTCACTTTCATACAAGAAGATTTTGAAAGCGATATTGAAATCACTGTGCGATGTTTTTCTAATCGATGCTTACCTAACGGCGTAAACAGGTTTCTACGCCTTTTACCTGCAAGGTGTCCTTTGAGCATTCTACCCATCCCGCCAATATAAAGTTCTTCACAACTGAAGACTACCCGCGTTATGCACAATCTCCCAACCTTTCATATGGACGATTGCGCGCTCCTCTGTGGTGCACATACGACCATAAACCCTGTGACCAATCGAAGCCCAGCGTTTTCTCTTTTTCTTCAGCGTTTGCCCCACTCACTAGAGGGGTCCGTTCCTCCACGAGTGCAAACTGGGACTGCTCGCTTCTGCGAGCTGGGCTGATCGCGGACCTCCGAACGCATTCGACAGACCTTCGTGATGGCTCAAGTCACATCACTCATGTCTAATTATGCCACAATTTGACGATTAATATTTCCTCCTGGCTTATTTATCAAGACGACGGCATTGAATAGGGCTGCTCGTACGAGGCACTGACGTATAGATGAGCTTCATTTACCCTATATCAAAGGTGGTCCAAGATGGATCACATTCTACCTGCTCCCATCAAGATGCCCATGTGTACTTGATCGCACATGATGCCTGTCCAGCCGTTCATCATTACGAGCTTGGGTGCCAGTCTCAGCAATTCCTCTCCTCCTCACCACCTGTACAACCCCCAATAGCGGTTCAATATATGCTACGAATACGAGCTTTCTACACAGCCCGGGGATGTGCAGACTTTGCGCAGAGAAGGATGCTTTTGGAGCTGCTCTTACATTACCACAAGGCGTCACAAACCTGATATTCCGACATGTGCGTCCACGAATGTGAGCGCGTCATCGCGTGGTACTACCTTCGTGAACTTAATGTATTGTGATTGTCGGCTGATTATGTTGAATAGTTCGTTCATTCCATGCTGCGATGCATGACACAACAATGGTCAACACCACTTATATGATGGGCAGGTGGGATAGCGTAATACTATCTTCATAGTCTGATCACGAAGCAATAGCCAAGACCGGCGCTAGCCTGGGTCCCACTGCAAGCTCTTCAACGTGGGAAGTAGAGCGTTTCACTTCAACAAATTGCTGATCAGACCTTCCTTGATCAGGTATACCTTGCTAAGCCCTGGCGTTGCAACTTCGCTAATGTGCTCACTAAGCATAAAAAAACTGCCCACAGCAACCCACCAAGTTGCGAACTGGTTTCAAGTGAGGGGTAAAGGAACACTCTGTGATATTTATCAGTTTCCTACTCTCACTTCCTGAGCAGTCATGTTCTCTGACTAATGGTTTACGAAAGGACTGTCTGTTATCCAAATGGCTACGCTGCTGTTCACTTCTGAGGGTATGGTACTTGCCAGGAAAGGCAACAAATCAGCCCAGCCATTTGCAATGAGGTGCACATCGCTGTACTCGCCTCGAGACGGTGAACTCAAAACTATCTTCAAAATTTGAAACGATCCTCTGAGCAAAATTATGGAAGCTTTACTCTACTCTTTTTTCTTCTGGCGTCGCAGCGTTTGCAGCTGCGGTGCGACACGCATCGTTTGTCGTGCAAAACAGGCATCATACTGTCCACGGGGACAAATAACACATAGCGAAGGCACTCTAGAGAGATATAAGGTTCTGACTCAACTTCCAAAAAATGAAGTTAGCTTAGTTATGACCGTGGTAGCCAACAGCGATACTACGACTAACCTACTGGTGGTGACTGGTTTTCGTGCTGAAATAAGCCTGCCATGTCTTTATCTTCTTCTTCTTCAGCGTTTGTCCCCCTCTGTAACGGGCTCGCTCGTCTTATTTTGTCACCCCACTTCTCCCTATCGAATGCTTCTTCGGAATGGGTGCCAACTAGCTTTGAATCCGCGTGCAACGCGTCTAACCAGCGTTGCTTGGAGCGTCCTTTAGACCGCTTACCACCTTACGCTTACCACCACGGGCACCTCGAGCTCAAGACCATTTCTACGGACGTTGTCACAATTCGCGCAAAGAACATGACCATACCATCGAAGGTGAGCTTCGCGCGTTTTTTTCGGCCCTAGGAAATACACCAAATCTCTTCCTTATGTCGTCATTGCGTATGCGATCCATATGCGTGACACCAGCGGTCCATTGCAACACAGTCATCTCCATGACTCCGAGGCGCGCTTCAACTTCTTTGGTCGTGGGCCTGAATTCAGGGGCGACAGTAAACGGCAATCGCACTTCAGCATACTTTTGTGAGTGGCGGTCGCGGCGCGATTTCGGCACTAGAGCATCATGGTCAACCATCGTCACCAGCGAGTAACACCTTAAGTTGACTACTATGAACTCAACATGGGAATATCACCACACTATATTCACAAAAGCACCGAATCTTGTAGAATAATGTTGGTGATGCGGCGTTTTCCACTCAATTTCCGTAAACTGGAGGTAAAGTCCAGTAAGGAGGAACAAACGCCTTGTCATCATGTTTAGGCACCTTGCCCATCAACGTGTAGACTTTTCCTCCACCGTCTACCCCCTTCCTTAACTTTAAGTATTCTGCGCTTGAAACGGCCCCTTCAAGTTCTGTGGAGAGCAGTCGGAAACAGCTACCGTACACTTTATCAATTTCGTAGCAATTCAAGCGATTTCGCACGTTCATTTTGCGGGTCCTGCAGTTACATGCCACATTGGTAGAATGTGGCATTTTGTGAGTGATATATACAGTGCGCCTCCAGCAATGTTAAGCATAGGGCACCTTGGGTGTGTAGCAACAGAATCGTCCGGTGCAGCTGGTGGGCGTGGCCTGCGACATCCTTGCGGCGAGAGGACAAATCTTGCGTCTGGCCGTTTGAATAGGGATATTGAAGGGATGGTAAAGAATGACATCCCCCAGAATCGAGTCTTGTGTTCAGTTACGGTCAAGATTTAGTTTTTACTTTGTTTTTCCATGGAGAATGAAAAGTTCATCCATGGGGCGTGGATAGGGTGTTCAAAGTTTTCCATGGTGTGTGATCTTTAACAGCAGCCCACAGGAAGACTTGACCATTCATCTATCGAATGTTGACGCTGAGGACAGCGCGAATCATGTGAATCACACAAATAATTGCTTTGTTTTATTTCTTTTGTATCTGTTCATTTCCTGAGTCCGATAGACAGTTGTATGTTACTATCAAGAGAAACATCAATTGTTGATGGTATCTGGTAAACGTTGCAGATGTACGCTTTAGTAAATCAGTTGCTCCAATTGCAAAGCTATCGGCTAGGAAATGCAGCTCCGTGAGCTGCTGAGTCATTCGCCGCATGCCGCGGGCGCTGCCCCGGACGATTCTGTTGCACGTCTCCCGGGCACCTTTATATACTACGCTTCTGACAAAGTACTCTAACTGGGGAAAGGGTGGCAGGAGGTGTACGCATCGGTTTACGCCTTGAACTTCCATCGGGTTGGTTTAGATAATCAGGGTCAATCAACAAGGTTTACTTCTCATTTGAATAGGTACCTTTTTTAACTGAGTATACATAAGAATAGCCAGCATTGAGCAATATCATTTAAAGCGTTTCGAATTAAAACACCTATTTTGCTTCCTTTGAATTTATTTAATCATTTTGCCTCATTTCCGACTATGCAAAAAACGTTTACATGAGAGCGCTTTATACTTCGTGGTTGTGCGATCGTGAGCGCTCGCCATACAACATGGTATGGCGCGCGTTTACATCAGGGAAATCGTGCCGGGACCACGGTCGGATGCTCAAGTGCGATTTTGCTGTTTACCTAGCGTCAGTATTCAGTGCCGTACATCCCGACTGGTCGAGCGACGGTTCTATGGATCTTCAATTTGAGGCGATCTGCTATCGTCTTGTCGCAGAGAGCGCCAGTCATAGACTGCCACACAGACCAGGCTGCACTCACACGCGGGCTCACTTCTGGTTCAAGACTGCCGTCAGGCGTAATTGTTGAACCAAAGTATTTGAACGTTGTCGTTCGCATTAGCAAACTGCCGCTGACCCCAAGGGAACCAGATCGTCTGGGTGAGACGCCAGGTACACGGTTTCCTTGACATCCAATCTGAGTCCGAAGTTCAGTCCAAGCCTGCCCTTGTTTCTCGAGACCATTCTCATCCTCGGCGAACATCACATCGTCAGCTCAGAGAAGCGTCCATGGAATCGGCTTCTGAAGGCCCGTGAGATGGCGTCCATGACGACAATGAAGAGGAGCTGGGAGAGCGCAGAGCCTTGGTGAACCCCACTGTGATGGTGAATTCCATCGAAGTGCCTGTCGGTATTCGCACTCTACTCGTGAGGCTGAAGTACAGGATGCGTGCTCGTTCAATCAGCTCCTCAGGAACGCCGTGGTAATTCATACCATATAACTTCACGTGGGACACGGTCGAACGCTTTCTCTCAATCAAGGAAGGCTAGATGGACATGCTTCTTCTTCTCACGATGTTTCTACAGCAAGAGGCGAGCAGCATGATGGTGCTACAGCCGGTCATGAAGCCACACTGATTGATAGAGAGCTGGACAATATTCCGAGTACGATTATCAACAATTCGCTCAAAAGTTTTCATGCTGTGCGAGAGCAAGCGAATTGGGCGATAATTTGAGCAGTCTGCAGGACTGCCTTTTTTCTTCCAGATCGGAACAGTTGTGCTCTCTCGCCATAATCGAGCATTTTCGTTTCTGCAACGACTTGATTGAAAAACATTGTCAGCCATTCGGCAGAATCCCAGCAGTGTGATTTCCATATTTCGGCTGCCACGTCGTCGGGGCCCGTCGCCTTGCCTGACGTCATCTTCTTGGAAGCCGCCTCCGATTCCTTCACGCTTATCTTTTGATCAGGACCCTATGTTGGTAATGCGCAGGGTGTGGCTGGACTATCGCTTTGGCGCCATTCTTCCATGTTTCATCGACAGTTGTGACGGTTGGTAATCGAATGCGAGAAACCACAGCTGCCCCTTTTCCTTCAGTTGCCACCGTTTTCATTCTCGGAACCACATCGCTCTATTTTGACCTAAGCGGTGTTATCTTCAGCGTACGAATAAGCGGACGATGTTGCGAGGCTACTGCCTTGTACGGCACGGTCTTTGCGTCTGTGACAAGTCCTTGATCGCATGCCTGACAAGAGCATAGCCTATTTGTGCTCTGGCACTTCCGCTGTAGAAGGAAATCAGCTGGGAGTCGCGTTTATGGAACTTTGTGTTCACTATGACAATACTATGGGCTTCTGCATATTCCAGGATGCGTTTGCCATCCATGTTACGTGTTCCATGACCGAAGCCACCATGACAATTGTAACCGTCTTTGTTGCGCCTACGCGGCCGTTAAGGTCACCAGCGACAATTACGACGTCTTCTGACGGTATCTCAGCTGTCTTTTCCTCAAGCAGGGTCCAGGACTAGTCTTTCAATTGCTCAGTGCTTCCCGTCTACGGAGCAAATGCAGAAAAGAAATGGTAAAGTCATTGCTTGACAGCAAGAACAATCTTCATCAAAGGTCGCCGAAACGTTCCACGCTAGCTTCGTGTCACGGAAACGCCGAAAGACTATTATGGCCACACTGTCTGTTGTCCTTTTTTCGCCGCAGAGAATGGCTTCAAAGTCACGACTAATTTCTCTCGACTTGCAACTAGACCAACTTGCTTCCTGTACTGCAAAGAGATCGATTCGTCTGCGCTCCGTGCCTCTGCCAATTCACATGAACGTCCGGTCAAGGTTCCAACGTTTAACGTTGCAACACGGACTTTACGTGCTACACGAGACTCTTGGACTAGCCTGGTCGCCCTTCGATGCCTTCCTTGCATCGAGGACCATCGCATACTTTCAACACTCGCCAGGCCATACGAGTGCGCGTTGGCTCCCGCGGACGCCGTAGCATTATCTCGAAATACATATGAGATGGTAAACATTTTGATGTGACATGGGGTGTTCGTAAGTCAGCCCGTCAC